TGTGCAGTTCACTGTTTAAATATAAGGGTGATGACGTTCTTAATTTTATTTTTCGAACATATGTATTTTTAATAAAAACTATAATATGGTCAATCTTATTGTGTACACGTATGTGTGACACGATTTTTTTTACATCTATAAAATATATAAGGCGAATATACGTACGCGTGATTCGTTTCAAGAAAATCTTTAATTTGTAAATAATCTAAACGACAGCAGTAATAAAATCATGTAATAAAAAAACGTATTTAGTAAAATCAAGATAATTAAGCCAAAAAATAAAAAAAACAGTTAAGCGACCGTGCTAGAACCACGGAATTCGGAAATGCCTAACACCTTCTTCCGGATTAACAGAATTCCTTACTCAGGATTTCTGGTTCACAGAATAACAAACAGAGTCATATTCTCCTCGATTCAGGGATTAAAACCGGTGACTTGGGACGCCTTAAAATTCCGAGGTGGCGACTCTGAAACAAATAAATAGATCCCGTTTCGACTGTCCTTCAATTGGAGAAAACTCCGCACGCACCCTCACGGGGGCGGAAAAAGGAGGTGTGACAATCATGATCAAATAAACCAGGGTTTAAGCAGTTAATATCATAATTCGCAGAAAATAACCCAACACAACCCGATACCGGGGTGTCACTAGTCATGAGCATCTAACAAAACAGAATACTCCAAATCAAACTACAGAGTTTAATATAGAAAACCAAGAACATGAAGAAGTAAGATAGGGAAGAGCTCCGGGCTACGAACGCCAATAGCTACCTAGAGACTCCACGGATCTGCTTGGGCCGAAAATGATCAGCACTCGGGAGCGGGACCAGATATGCCTGAATCTGCACAAAGTGTGTAGGGAGTAAAGTGAGTACTCCAACTCAGTGAGTAATAATCATAAATAAAGATTGAAAGCAGGAAATCACGTAAGGCACAAAGCATACTATATTGAAGCAGTAAAACCATTAAAACAGTAAACCAGTGAAGGATAGGTAAAAATCATTTAACTCAAATTTAACTTCATGAAAAGCCTTTTTCAACAATTAAGCATGGTAATTGACAGGCAGTTAAGAAAAGATAAACACATAAAGGTTCGGCCCTCGGGCACCGTATCAACAAATTCGCCCCTCGGGAAACATCTCAGAACAATACCAGCCCCTCGGGCTCAATCTCACATCACAATGGGTGGCCGCGTTCACTGGGGGTGTGCAGACTTATGGAGGGGCCCCTTACGGCCCAAGCGCAATATCAAGCCATCTCGTGGCATCATTACTAGGCTCTCAGCCTCATATCAATCAAGCCACCTCGTGGCGTACATACCTCAGGCCCTCAGCCTCATAATCAATATCAAATGTTTCCTCACAACATAGGCCCTCGGCCTTACTCAGTCAAAATCCTCACTAGCTACTCGGGCAATAGTAAAACATGATTCTCAGCCAAAATATCATTTAAAAGATCATTTAAGTGTTAAAACAGAGTAAACATGGCTGAGTACGAAAACAATGAAATATAACATGACGGAGTTCAAGTATTAGGTCAAAACAATGAGGAAATATCAATAAAAGTCCCATAAGGGTTCAAATAGTTGGCATTCACCCCAAATATGGCATTCAGCCCAAATAATGATGATAGCAAATAGATTTCAATCAAATACGGAGTAAAATAGTCATTCGGGACGGACTAAGTCATAATACCCATCAGTGCACAATCCCACGCACGTCATCTAGCGTGTGCGTCCCTTCAATATAGCACAACAATGTGCAATTCGGGGTTTTGTACCCTCAGAACATCATTTATAATCATTACTCACCTCGAACTAGTCCAATCTCTAGCCTGCGATGCCTTTTCCCCTCGAATCGGCCTCTACCCGTGTCGAATCTATCCAAAATCAGAACCACGGTGTCAAAATATGCTAAGGGAATGAAGCCCAAGCGAAAATAATCAATATACGACACAAATTCCGAAATTACTAAAACCCGACCCCCAGGCCCACATCTCAGAATTCGATAATTTTTACATCAGTATATTCCTTATCTTCTCACAAGTTCATGCATATCAAAAGTTCTGAAATCTGACCTCAAATGATCCTTCAAATCCTCAAGCAAAGGTCTAAGTTTTCAAGCCCTAGTTCTTCAATTTTTGGCTTAATTTCCATGATTATTTAGGTGGAATTCACATTAGAATCGAGTTTCAAGTCCAAGAATCTTACCTCCATGTGATTCCCTTTGAATCCCTCTTCAATCCCCTTCAAATAGCTCCAAAAAACGACCAACAATGGAAGAAATAAACCCCCCATTTGCGAACAAGATGACCTTTTAAACCTTCTGCCCAGGCCTGAGATCCTTCTTCGCGAATGCGGTCAAAGCCTCGCGTTCGTGAAGCACAAATTAACTTTGACCAATTTTTCCTCTTTCGCGATCGCGACCTCCCTATCACGAACGCGATGCTTTGCTCAGACCAACCTTCATGATCGTGTTCCACCTTTCGCGAACGCGGTGAATAAAAATCCATTGAAGCTTAGCTGCCCATTTTCTTCTATGCAAACGTGACACCACCCCGCGAACACGATGCACAACCACTTAGCCCTTCGCGAATGCAAAGGCTTAAATTCCACCTTCCTCAACTGACTCTTCGCGAATGCGAGGGTCCACTCGCGAACGCAAGGGTCCACTCGCGAACGCGAAGAGTAAAATACCTGTAACAGTTGAAATCAAAATCTGCAACTCCAAACATCAAGAAATGGTCTGATTGACCACCCAAAACTCCCCCGAGGCCCTCGGGACCTCAACCAAAGGCACCAACATATCCCAAAACCTTATTCAAATTTGTACAAATCTTCAAAATACCTCAAATAACATCAAATTAACCAAAACACATCGGATTCAAGCCTAAGTTTCCAAAATCTTCCGAATTCCGCTTTTGATCAAAATCCCAACCAAACCACGTCCGAATGACCTGAAATTTTGCACACACATCCCAAATGACACAGCTGAGCTACTACAACTCTCAGAATTCTATTTCGACCCTACCTCAAAATCTCGCCTACCAACCGGAAATAACCAAAATATCAACTTCGCCAATTCAAGCCTAAATCTACTCCGAACCTCCAAACCTCATTCCGATCGCGCTCCTAAGTATCAAATAACCTCCCGAAGCTATCCGAACCATCGAAACTCACATCCGAGCCCTCTAACACATAAGTCAATATCCGGTTGACTTTTCCAACTTAAGCTTCCTCAAAAGAGACTAAGTGTCTCAAACCTTACCAAAATCATTCTGGATTCGATCCGACCAACCCGATACCACATAACACGGATACACAAACATAAAGAAGTAGAAATAGGGGGAAACAGAGCGGTAACTCATGAGACAACTGGCTGGGTCGTCACACCGCATAGGATGAGCGGGTTGGGCATAGGGGCGCTGGTAACCTCACCTGACCTGGGGATCAACTCAGGGAACTCAGGAATTGCACTTGGCGGTTCCCTACCATTAGACCAGGATGCTGATTCTAGCTGCAGAATAGCCGATGCCGGGCTATCCTCAGGACTGATGATTGGTAGATTGCTTGCGGAAGCCATCTGTGCCTTTGGATCTTATGAAGGAGGGAATGCTAGACTACCAACAAAACCAACCACCAAAACCTGGCTAGTTTGCACACCCAACAACCTTGTTAGTTTTGAGACATTTAATATATAGGAAATTGCATGTTGGAATGCAATGCACCTAAACAGTTAAACGTTTCTACTATGTGTTTGAACGAGTTGCATGTTTCATCCCGGCCTTAACTAACTCTTTCAGTATGTACCTCTTTTTTTTATTTTTTTATTTTTGCCTTTCTTTAATCACTCTTGATTTGTTTCATTTTGTTTCTGTCGCTCTTTTATTTTTTTAGCACACTTTTTTTTACTTGTTTTTACTCCATTTTTCTTCTATTTTTTTTCAGTTTATTTTTCACTCAATTATTTTTATGGCTATGACCGAATCCGATGAGGATTGCCTACGTATCATGATGCCGCATGAATCAGATCTTGCGTAGTTCGGGAAGATTGAGAATGAAGTAGATAAACTAACTCTTTTTCTTCTTCTATTTTTTATAACTCTCAAGTAATGAAAGCGTTTAAAAAAGGAAAATAACTTTTTTTTTTGCATTTCATTTTTTTATTGTTATTGAATATTCGAAAGAAAGCTATTAAAGAGGAAAGAAAATATTTTTGGATTTTTAATTTTTTTTGATTTTGTTTTGAAATTTTGAAAGAAAGGCTAAAGAAAAACTTCTAAAGAAGAAACAAAAATATTTTTTTGGTTTTTGTTTTTGGGAAAAAGACTTCTAAAAAATATTTTTTTTGGATATTGTTTGATTTGTTTTCTTTTTTCGAATGAAAGACTTCTAAAAGGAAGAAAAATATTTTTGTATTTTGGATGTTACCTCTTAATTTTCAAAAGAGGGACTTTTAAGAAAACTATTTTGGATTTCTCAATTTTATTGTTTTACATTTACAAAAGTACTTCTAAAGAAAAACGAAAATATTTTTGGACTTCAATTTTTCAAATTTTTTCTTGACATTTACGAAAGAAAAACTTTTAAATTAGGAAAAGGTTTTTTCTTTTTTTTTTTCTGATTTGTTTTTGAATGTTTTGGGAAAAATACTTCAATATAAAGGAAACTCGTATTTTGGATTTTGATTTTTATTGATTTTTATTTTATTTCTTTTTCTCGTATGAAAAGGGAACTATTTTTTGAGTTTAGAAATCTTTTTTTTTTTTGAATTTTTTAAGGAAATGCTTCTAAAGAAGGAATTAAAGGAAAATATTTTGGATTTTTAAAAAAAGGTGGGGCCGGAACCGATGAGGTTTGCCTATGTATCTCACATTAGGTGAGAATCAGACCCGCCTGGCTCGGTCAGTTTTGACAAAATCAGAAGAGATATTTTATTGACTCATTTTAAAAAATTTGGCAGAGTTTCGGGACATTTTTGAATACCGGGGTTTTCAGAACCGGGCTATATTTCCTTCCTACATCATTCTTGGTTTTTCTCTTGATTTTCTTTTCCTAGCCGGTCAACATGCAAGCCGAAACAAATAAATGTTCACATTACACGTAGGATGCATCAGGATGGTCTGTTATTTTGGGTACACCTGTCCTAGACGGACCCAACCCCTGTGTTGAGTCCCCAAGGTCAAATGCACGTGATAAAAATAAACGTTCCTACTAGGGATCCGACATGAGGTTACGTTATTCTAAGTTTAAACCTGGGGTTGTGTTCTAGACCTGGCTTACCCGAGCGGACAACTCGAGCTGAAGAGGGGGCAACGTACCGGGAGCAGGAAAGTCTACCCAGCCTTGTTGCTGGCCCAACCTCATTCTATTTGGTATAAATTATAACAGAAAAAGTGGGCCATGCGAACGTGTGCACCGTTTTGTAGAAGACTCAGAAGGGAGGCGTAAGAAGACATTTAAATACAGTTCAAGTAATATCAAAGCGGTAAATAAATGACAATTAGCACATTAGGTCCACAAAAATACAGTAATACCAACAATAAATAAAGCCAAATAAAAATCACATTAACAATCTCGAATTCTTGAACCCTGAACAAGAAGTTCTAGGTTTTTATCCCCAGCAGAGTTGTCAAAGCTGTCACACCTCCTTTTTTACCACCCGAAGGGGAGTATAGGGGAGTTTTTCCAATTAAAGTGACATTATTCGAAATGAGATTATTTTTTTTTTTCAAGTCGCCACTTGGAATAATTTATTTTTTAGTGTCCCAAGTCACCGTTTCTTTTTTTAAATCTCAAATCGAGGAAATTTTCGACTTTATTTAAATATCTGTGAACCAGAAATTCTAGATAAAGAATTTTGTTAACCCGGGAGAAGGTGTTAGGCATTCCCGGGTTCCGTGGTTCTAGCACGGTCGCTTAGCAACTTATACTTGGCTTAAGTTGTCTAATTACTTATTTTTAGGACCTAAGTGCATTTATTTTTCTACCGCTTTTAATCACTTGATTTGTTCGTAATGAAAGAATTGAGTTATGTGTACTTATACTCATTTCCTTTGGCGCATCAAAAATCATGTCACGCGTACGTGTCCACAATTAATCACGCTTTATTAATTATTAAGAAAGTTTTAGTCGAAGTTGCGCGAACGCATCCCTCAATTTATTTTTGAACGAAATTCGTAATTATGTTACGCGAACGTATACATAATCACCATAATAGACTAAGTCGCGCCTAAAGCAAGCTATGAATGTTCAAGATTGTTTAATACCTAAGTTATAAAATTAATGTGAGGGCCACAAATTAGGTGATTCAAATGTGAATGGCAAACCTCGATTCATTTTTAAAAGATTTCCAAGAATGTGATTTGTTGACTTCTTGGGTACATAATATTCAATTAAAATTAGAGAACTTTTCAACTAATTGAGATAGAATTCATTTTACATTAAAAAAAATCTCAACATTCATCCGAAATGTTTCTAAAATCAAATAAGTGATGTTCATACTATATTAAGATGATTTGTATGCATATTAGAGTAACCTGACGAGATTTATAAAGAACACAAGCAAATAAGTGAAAAGGAGTTTTGAGCCCTTATAGTTAACAAGGGTATGTGCAGTCATATGACTTTTCCCATCCAAAAGTTAACATTGTTATGATGAGGTCTCGTATTTGCTCGTAAATGCTAAAGTTAAGATATTATATACACAACTCATAAAAGTAAGACAAAGAACGTAGGATCCCTAAAATGAGGCACCAAACATGCAATTTTGCCTATTAGGCAATAAGCATGAGGCTTAATTGATATAAGCAAACTAAGTGAATGTTATTAACTTCATGGACACTGTAACTTGTAAGCCTACGAGATTTAGCATAAATGCATCTGAGATGCGATAAGAGTTACAAGTCTAAATATGGTATCAATTTCTCGAAATCCAAGTTACAGTCCAACAAAATCAAAGCACACATACTCGAAAGCAAATTTAGGGACCATATTCAAAGCAGACATATTCAAACAATTACTGCAATTTATATTCCATTATATCATCTAAGTGATAATTACAGTGCTGGAAATTAGAATCCATACCTCAAGAACAAGGTGAAAACTTCAGAATTGCTAAATAGAAAGTAGAACAGGCGAGCCAACAGAGTAGCAGCGGACATCGATTCAATCGCTTCAGATTTCCGGAAATTATGAAGCTAAGACACAGAAGTTGAAAATAGCAACGGAACAAAGTCAACAACAACCTTGAAATCTCCTCTTATTTTTGTCTTTGTTTTGTGTTTTTTTAGCTCTTTCTAAAATCTCAGATCTGGATTTTTTTCCAGATCCGTCAGGCTCTAGTGGGGGGTTGAGAAGAAGATGTCAGCGGCGGCTTCATTTCAGGAGGAGATTTCAGCCGCTTTCAGAGAGAGACGAAAGGGGAGGGGTCTGTTTCTTCAATGAGGAATGAGTTAGAGAAGCTGGTTCATTCTCTTCTGCCGAGAATGAGGAAAACGAATTAGGGGGTGTTCGGTTTTGGAAAGAGGGAAAATCCACCGTTTGCTGAAGCTTTTTAAGAGAAGGGGAGCCTCTCGTTCTTAGGTCTCTAGGGTCTATAGGTTTAGGTCTTAGGTGTTTAAATAAAAGGGAAAAAGACAATTGGACCAGGTAGTGAAATGGGCTGGTATTGGAAGGAAATGAACTTGAAGGGATTTGGGTCATGAATTTGGGCTAATTAACTTTGGCCCAATGCACAAAGGCTAAGCCAAAATCTTTTTTCCCATTTTCTTTTATTTGATCTTAAAATCTAATAAAAATCCTAAATTAATCCTAAATCAATCTAATTTGTAAAACTTAAAATTGTTTATTTATTAAAACAACTAATTAACTTAAAACCAAATAAAAACACTACTATCTAAAGACTAAAAGCTAAATATGTAAAAATAATCATTTTTGTGATTTTTATTAATAAAATTAATTCCTACATGCAAATTGAACCTACGATGGCATGAAATTAAAACGTGACAATTTTTATGATTTTAAAATATTAAAAATGCATGAAATGCAACTAAATAAAGAAAAACTTCTAAAAATCAATTAAAATTTTTTTGGCCTATTTTTATGAGTTATTTTCACGTAGGAAAAAAATTAGGTGCTCACAGTGTACAACCCGATCCAAATAAAATCAAAATATGACTCTATGGCCCACATCACCCATCGATCTCTCAAGTCTTAGTTAACCACTTATCACAGTGCTCAGTTCAACATTGCTACACATATAAGGCATCCAAAACATGTGAGAAAGCATAATAAAAATGTACTGAGATGGAGATATCATACACGGATATAGTATCATGATAGAGACAATTAAGGCAAACAACTCAAAACAACAATAATAGCCCTATCATGTCCCAAACAATTAAGCGCATAGCCTAGACATGATTTTTAATATGAATCATAGCTCAAATAATCATACAAGTAGAGAAAATATAGATATAACGAGGCACGAAAGCAAACAAGTCTCATAGTTGTTACATCCCAGGTTTTCGTACGTGGAAGTACGCCATAAGTAAATTGATATAAGCTCAAAAATGAAATGTTACATCCTGCATTTTCGTACGTTAAAGTTTCATCCTATGTTAATCGACGTAAGCTCGGGAATGAGATTATTTGGAGATTATAAGTATTATATTATTTCAAACAAGTGATAAGTAAATTCGTGAAGGTGAGAGGGTAAGAGAATCGAAGAAAGTGAGTTTTGTCAAAGTTTGTCAATTTGGAAGAAAATACGGTCCGAACTATAATACCCAGCATTTATGGACTAGTGCCATACAAGGTATCACATGACCATGATAGTAAGGTGTGTTAAAAGTAAGTAGTATTTTAAGTAATTTGAGATAATTCTTAATTATGTGGGTAATTGGTTAATTATTAGTTAGTGGGAGATTAATAAATTAACAATTAATTAGAATTGGATAAGCTTGATGGATCTTACCACCAATGTGGCAGCCCATGAGGTGGTTAACATTATTAGAGTACATAACAAGGTTAACATTTTCTTTAGCCTTTTGGGCGTGAATTGCATAAATATATTCACTTTAGCAATGCAAGCTAATGTTTGCCTACCTCCCCCCTTAAGATTAGAAGAGACAACATCACGTTGCAAAGTGATTGCATACGTGATTTACAATGGTCAGAGTTGTAACGTGAGATTTTGAAATTCTAAGGAAGTACGATGCAATCTTTCTCAAGAATATCATATGGATTTTCCTCTACTTCAATCCGCCATTACGTATTTTCGCAAAAGACGTGTGTTAGAAGAATTATCAAGAGGAGCGAATCAGGTATATTAAGGTTATCCCTTTTTTCTTTTTGGAATGATCCATATGACACAAACGATACGAGCAAATGCACAACTTCCATAATTGACTCTATTCGTAGAAATGCTTATATTTCTGATTCCCTATATTTCCTATTATTCTATCGTCTGTTCATGGGTCTCAGAAAATACGTAAGTTGATAAAGTCTGTTTCATGATATTAATCAAAGGCATAATGGTCTTATGACACTCCAAAAGATTTTATTGTACTTCTCATACATTGCATTAATTTATATTGAACTATAACCAGATGGTGTTATACACACACACACACACACATATATATATATATGTATATATATGTATATATGTATATATATACACACACACATACACATATAGGAAAAGGTTACGACGTTATATACGCACCACCACCTGATCAGCTGGTATACGTTGATGATTTGCCCACAGTGGCCGAGATGATACGATGGGATGCCCTTAGAGGCTTGATGATATTATGAATACATATACCCATGCATAGAATGACATTTATACGCATATGCATGAAATTATAATAGTAAATGACTCACAGAGCTATTTAGATATACATGTTGAGTCTTTTACTCCATATTTATCTCATGTCTATTGTTTACTGATTTTTATTCCTTACATACTCAGTACATTATTTGTACTAACGTCCCTTTTGCCCCGGGGTACTATGTTTCATGCCCGCAGGTCCCAATAGACAGGTTGAGAGTCCTCCAAGTAGGCTATCTACTCAGCGGAAGATGTTGGTGCGCTCCATTTGCTCCGGAGTTGCTTATTTGGTTAAGTATGATTTAGACATGTATTGATTGGTATGTCGGGGCCTTGTCCTGGCCTTATGATGTTTATGTAATCTTAGGCGCTTGTAGACGTATGTCATGTATATGAAAGATTGTATCGCATTGTCGAACTATGTTCAGTGTATGAGTGGTTATTTTGGCCTTATTGGCCCGTACGTCATATGTATAAGTAAGTATATCAGGTTGGGTCATTTTATGTTGAGTATTCTCTTATCTTTTATTATTGTTACCTCATACGGCCCTTCTGGACCATTTACCCATGTTGATATGATGAGAAATATATGTTACGTTGGTACTCGGTTGAGTAAGGGCACCGAGTGCCCGTCGCGGCCTATCGGTTTGGGTCATGACAGAAGTGGTATTAAAGCAGTTCTGTCCTAGGGAGTTTACAAGCCGTGTCTAGTAGAGTCTTGTTTATGGGTGTGTTGTGCACGACACTTATAAGCAAGAGGCTACAGGGCATTTAAGACTTTCACTCTTTCTTCTTACTCTAGATCGTGTGGTAGAGCTCAGTTGTAAGAACTCAATTTCCTAAAATCTATCTTATTCATAATACGACGATGCCTACATCTAGAAAGTCAGTTGGTAAGAGATTGCATGTGGCTATGGAAGAGTTGAGTTAGAGGGACTCAATTTTTCTTGATGTTTATGATGAGTAAATGTAAGGTCTCCAGTAGGTTATGTGTGTACTAAGACATGTAAGCCTCTTGATAAGGAGCCTTAAGGCAAGAATATGTATCCACCTTTATGGTGAAAGGCAATGAGATATTCAGAAGATAGATAAAGTTTCAATAAGTAAAAGAAGCAAGATGAAGAAGGGCTCGAGGTGCCTAGTTAATGAACATTATCAGTATTTACAAATTCAAGTAGAGGAATATAAGCCTTTTGAGTTACCTTCAATAATAACAGAGGTACATACAAATGGCCACACCTATCTCATTTATGTCCTGTGGAAGTTAGCAGAAGTAGTATAAGAGAAGGACGGGATATCAGGATCCGGCTGGGGTTAGAGTAACCCAAAATGGTGAATCGATTATTTGCGTTAGTTGACATTTCTGAAAGATAGTGCAAATATGCGAATAGATCTCCTTGTGAGACACCCAGATGGTGCACCCAAAAATAGTACAGCTAGATATGAGTATTACAAAGATGGGTACTGGAAGCCTAGAAAGGATAAATATTATCTTAGTATGGCTCCATCCTTAGTAGGGTGAGAATGTTAGGAAACCTGAAGAGCCAATAAATAAAGCAAGGGGAACTAAAAGCAAATGAATGTATTATTTAAGTCTTCAAAAAAAAGTGATAGGCAGAAATATTCGCAGGGAAATAAGAAGAGAGATGAGGAAGCATTATAAGTAAGATGTGATACATGAATGATAACTGTAGATAAAAAAAGTGACAGAATTACAGAGCCTATAGTCAGGTGAAGGAAGAAACGAGAGGTGATAGGCCTTGAGACATCAAAAGAGTATAGGCCATAAAGTCATATTCTCATTTCGAGAAATAAGTTCGTGACTCTAACGTAATTACTACAAGGAAAAGCTAGACCCCCAGAGTAATAGAAATCAGTGTGGATTGGTGAACAAGATAAACTAAACATGAATTAGGGACTAAGTGATTTGGTAATGGTCGACATCAAGAGAATTTCAGATTTCGTTCCGACAATAATAGAATGGACAACAGAAGAAGATTCATGAGAAATTCAAAAAATAATCATTAAAGAAGACGCTTCCCTAAAGCAAGCAATATGAGAAAAATTAATCTTAAGGGTCTGTATGTGCCAATTATACTAAGTGTCACCCTCGCGAGTAAGGAATATACCGGAAGGCGAGTAAGGGTCATCGATGATGTGAAAAGACACCAAAGATGAAGAGGTAAAACATCTATAAGTGGATCGTCATAGCTCTAAATCTTAGTACTCCCTTAAAGGGGGGGGGGAATGGAGTAATATGACATTAAATCAGAATTAAGTGGTTCTAGTAACTATGGAATGGTAAAGAAAGAATGCGATAAAAATGAGAAAGGGATGAGATTGAACCTATTCAAATCCTACAGATATGCTATGATTCCAGAACATCATGCAAACACGTCATCAAGGAGAGGAAGTAAGGGTTCCTTCCCAAGATGTTAGTGATAAATAAGGAGCTAGTGCGAGAGGTAAGTTAAGACAAAGGAAATAACTCAAGAAAGATTATGCAGAATATTGATATGAGAGTGGGCCAACGATTAGTTAGTAGTTGACTTAGGAAGAGCCAAGTTATGGCTAGATAAGAGGATACAGACAAATCAATAGTTTGTGCAAGATAAGCAAGAGTGAACCCCAACATGGGGAATTCAGTCTCGTAGATATGACATCGTAACCTTGAGAAATATTAAGATAGGAGTTGGTGTAGTTAAATGTACCGTATGAGTGTTATGGAGATAAATGAGAGTGACACTAGGA